AAGTCAAAATTATTTATTTCCATTAGACCTAGGTGCTTACTCTTGAAACTAATCTCCAATGACAATGCAATTTCAATCCAATAAAATCTCAATAATTACGCAATGTCAAAACTATACAACCCCTATCGTAGCTATGAAAATAGCATTGAGAGTACGGAATATAAAGCCAAAGTCGATACCATTTAGTTTATTCAATATCCACGCAATACGGAGGCAATGGGCTAGTATAGCAACTCGAGAGTACGAAATTTTACAATACCAATGTCGATCGATCGGAATTGGATTCAAGAGTAAGCCAAGGCACTTTTGAACGTCAACAAAAAATTAAAAGTGAAGCTATTTGCTCATTCCAAGATGTACATTCCTATGGAGAAGTACGAGCAAGTAGCTCCATATGCTACTCTTTTTCAATCAGGTTCATTTTAAATTAGACATTCTGTGACAAATACAAGATTTGTATTGTAACTTTCGTGAGACAAACTAAATAAATTATTATGTTTTCGACTTACTCACGTAGTAATTTGACGAGGAACTCGACTAGTTTCAAGCCATGCAAGAGGCTCATATTCATAAGTAGCGTTTCGCGACCCGCGACGCGGCGACTGTCGCGCTGCTACTGAACTAGTCGAGTTCCTCGTCAAATTATTACGTGGGTAAGCCGAAAACATAATAATATATCAAATACAAGATGTTTAGTTTGCATGACCATAAAATATAAATGCTTAGCTTTAAACTTAGTTGCTAGATTTAAGTATACCCTAAGTATTCAGTGTTTAAATTCATTCATTCATTTAATTTTAAATAGTCATATTTTGTTCGTGAATTCACCTGCCGTACTCAGAGACCTTTAATGATTACTTAGCCACTTTTTTATTTTTTTATTATAATATTACAGATTAATTCTCCACGGACTCGAGGTCCGTGCCCTTGTCATACAGTTTTTTTTTTATTATAATACATCTAGTCAATTTTTATAAAGTAAAGAGGGTACCTAGTTACACACTACAATTAACTACATCTATATCTATATCTATATATACTTAGCCACTTAACTGACCCCATCACAGATATAGCTGTGGTCCCCATACAATAAACTTTTCAAGTAGGTACTATACTACTATATACTACTACCCAATTTAATTATTTCGACTGTTCAATACAATGAAATATTAAAAAATCATCACACTATCATTCATTGATTTTATGACCAACTTAATTTTAGTATATTTCCAACAAATTTTTAAGAAATAACTATGCTGTTTGACGCTAAAAAAACTTGACGTCACAAATTTCTCGTACAAAATTCATAGAAAACTGTCGTTTTTGACAGTTCGATAAAAGTATTGTATTTGACTAGTTGTCAAGGACAAGGCGTTAAGTAGCCATTAATTGTCGCGGAGAACCTAACGAGAACGGGGTGGTTTTTAGTCAGTAAGAGTCTGACACTCCCTCCCGCCTCACCCAGGCGGGAGAAGTCATCGATGATATTCCCCCCTTAAAAAAAGTAGCTATTTAATGACTCTTGAGTACGGCTGTAAGAGGTTAAACATTAATGTGTATATTTGTTCCAGATCAAAGTGGTGGGAGCTTGCTGCCTAGTTTGTGCGTTGACGTGTGTCCTGGTCACCATCACCACCACCGTCATACATATGAACAAGTAAGTCCTTCAAAATGTCCCACTAGTAAATATGTCGCGGAGAACCTAACGGGTTGCCGAGGCTCCGGCTCGACGTGCAGGAGAAGGAACGGGGTGGTTTTTAGTCAGTAAGAGTCTGACACTCCCTCCCGCCTTACCCAGGCGGGAGCAGTCATTCAATGATTTTCACCTCTTAAAAAAATAGTATTGTAAATATGAATGAAAACATAACATAACATCATGCCTTTTATCCCCGAAGGGGTAGGCAGAGGTGCACATTATGCCACTGTACAATGTTACACCCACTTTTCACTATTTATGTTATGAGTCCCATGTAATAGGGGGTGAGCCTATTGCCATATACCGGGCACAATTCCAGACTCCGTGCTACTACTAAGAATTAAAAAAAAACCAATAATACTATGTCCGACCCGGGAATCGAACCCGAGACCTCTTACCCAGCAATCGCATTTGCGACCACTTGGCCAATGAGGCAGTCTTTTGGAGTCTGCAGTCTTGGCTCCAGGGCTAACAATGTATGGACGCAATGTCCTTTGGAATAGAGGTAGATTATGCTCTGGAATAACGCACGCATAGGCTATTTCTTATATCATGGAATCGCGAGCGAAACACGCACTATTAAAGAAGTAAATGGTACATTTGTGCCGTTTAATTGAAATACATGATTTTGACTTTGACTTTATATTTGTTTCAGACTACAAACGCTGAAGTTTTGCGAGTACACGAAGCTGACTCGAACCTGCACCTGCTTCTCAATGCCTCCGGACTCGCAACATAGTTCAGCCGATGACGAAGGTACATAATTGGGTACTTTCCAACTAGTAAAATTCAATACTTTATTCGAACTGTCAAAAACGACAGTTTTCTACGAATTCTGTACGAGATTGTGTATTGTGACGTCACGTTTTTTTAGCGTCAAACAGCTTAGTTATTTCTTAAGAGCTGGAAAAATACTAAAATTAAGTTGGTCATAAAATCAATTAATGAAAGTGTGATTATTTTATTGTACCGAACAGTCGAAATAATTTATTTTTGATTAAGGAAAGTACCTAATTACGACATATTAACTGACAAAATTAATTTCAAATCAAAATCTGTGTATTAAGCTGCATATCGACTGCACGGTTGGCGCGATCGCGGTGGTTGGGCAACTGGCTGCCACGCAACGTGTCGCGGGTTCGATTCCCGCACGAAACAACTCTTTGTGTGATCCACAGATTGTTGTTCCGTGTAGGCGCTTTAGCTATATCTGTTATTAGAAGCAAGTATAACAGCTGACACATAGGACCCACTTAGTTTTTAGTCAAATTTCCGTGGTGCTTGGCGACTGGGCTTCACCCAGTTGTACAGTACAGTACTCCTGCAGTAATTCACCGAGGGAAGTGGAAACTATAGTTTTTTCTTACATAACATAACATCACACCTTTTATCCCCGAAGGGAGGTGCACACAGAAGTAACACCCACTTTTCACTATTTATGTTATGAGTCCCATGTAATAGGGGGTGAGCCTTCTAGTTTTTTCTTCTCCTCTTATAATATCTTCTGATTGACTTCGTTGCTGGAACCAAGACAGTTATTCATGTCCCTGGGACTGACTTCAGTGTTCCAGTGTTTTCATGGTTGTATCTACTGTAGATCCTGGCTTACAGGAGTTGCAGCGGTATTGGGAGGTTGTGGCGGGATTGTCCCATAAAAAAGATTGTTGTTCCTGGTCTGGGTGTCATGTGTATGTGAACTTGTATGTTTGTAAACGCACCCACGACACAGGAGAAAATACTAATGTAGGGCAACGTCTTATTAAAAAAAAAAAAGAAAACAAGGTTCGACATTTGATAGACACTTCACACAAATGTAGAAGTATGTGTGGACTAAAATTGAGTGATTGAGTGAAAAATAGTGTTATTAATGAAAGGTGTGGATTGAAAAATGATGTAGTGACAAGAATTGAAAAGGGAATGTTACTCTGGTTTGGACATGTTGAAAGGATGGATGAAAGTAGAGTAACGAAAGAAGTGTACAGAGCGGATATGAATGGGGCCGTCGGTAGAGGGCGCCCTAGACGGACATATAGTGACCAGATTGGCGATATATTAAAGAAGGACCAAATGTATTATACACTAGCGGCCCGTCCCGGCTTCGCACGGGGGGACTTAAGATTTTTTACATAGTTTTACGTTTTATTTATATTTATTCTCAGTTTTTTTTTATTTAGGAAGTATTTACCTTTTGAAAATATTTTTCCGGACTTCATTTACTTATTTCAATTATTTATGAACAATTCATCTATAGAGCATTTTTGTATAACTTTAACTATATGCTCAGCGCACGCCACGGAAGGCCTTAGAAACGATACTTTTCCCCCGTTTTTAAAACATTTTTGGTTACTGCTCCACAACTATAGGACCTAGCGTGATATTATATAGCCTATGTTACTTCTGAATATTGCAGCTTTCTAATGGTGAAAAAATTATTGCAATCGGTCCAGTAGTTTTTGAGTTTATTCATTACAAACACACAAAAATACAAATCTTTCCTCTTTATAATATTAGTATAGATATGTGTGTGAAGTAGAATCTTGCAACTGAATTTTGAAGCAGATATCTTCAACCGATTGAGCTGAAATTTTGTATACACGTTTAGTTTGCATTACTATCAATACATAGTATAAAACAAAGTCGCTTTCGCTGTATGTCCGTATGTATGCTTAGATCTTTAAAACTACGCAACGGATTTTGATGCGGTTTTTTTTAATAGATAGAGTGATTCTTAAGGAAGGTTTGTATGTATATACATATTGCACCCGTGCGAAGCCGGGGCGGGTTGCTAGTAAATGATAATCTTACTTTTCCTACCCTTAGGAGTACGCTGCGTATTCGAAGGCGTATCGGAGTGTGGCGTAGTGCACGGCGCGTTGTACTGGTGTCTCCGCGGCGTATTCGCGTTGTCAGTCAGCGCTGTGCTCGTCTGCATCTTCAGTTGCATGTTGGCTTACCAGTTGCTCAGGTGAGAAAATCTATATTTACTACTAATTTTATAAATACGATAGTATATGTATAAATTACGATGCGATTTCGTGCGACAAGGCGTCTCCAAGGGTGACCATTCCTTCGACGACCGTCAACCGTACTAAACGTATTTTAAATTGAAAACTAGGTCGTGGCATGGATCGTAAAAAGAAGTGTGCACTTCTGTTATTGCTTAGGAGATACAGGAAAAGAAACAAAGAAGATTTTGGGAAGATAAGATTTTGATGCGCGATGTGAATCAATTCGCAAGTTCTTGCGATGCGTAGAGGGAGCTCGCACGTTTTACGATGCGACGTCGCAATTTGTGTACGAGCTCTTAATGTGTGTTTGTTACTCCTTCACGTCTAAACGGCTGACCCTTCAGCCCCCTAACCTAGCCTAGCCTAGCCTATCTGGATGAAATTTAGAACTGGGGTAGATTAAGGTCTGGAATATTACATAGACTACTTTTTATTCCACGGGGATGCGGGTATTGTCCAGAGGCCTAAGTACGAGTTTGATTTATTTTTAAACTGTCAAACACCAAGAGGTCACCGGTGACCGCAACCTATTGTTCTATAATTGTGTCTACAAAACCGGTACTCGACGAGTTAAAGTATTCGAAACGAGTACGCGTCCGGCACTCTTGATTGGCCGGCGCCAATAAGCCAACCAATTAGAGCGCCGAACGAGGTCTCGTTACGAATACTTTAAACTTAAGACAAACTTGTACTAAGGCCTCTGGTAGCCCGGAGGTTTAAGACGCCCGCTTCTCATGCATGAGGGTGCAGGCTCGAAACCAACCAACGGCAAGTACCAATGTGACTTTTTCCGAGTTATATGTACTTTCTAAGATTATCTAGACACCACTGACAAACGGTGAAGGAAAACATCGTGAGGAAACCTGGACTGATAATTTCTAATTATAAGTTTGAATTCACTAACCCGCATTTATTAAGCGTGGTGATTAATGCTCAAACCTTCTCCGTGTGAGAAGAGGCTTTGCTCAGCAGTGGACGTTTATATACTGTTGATGATGATGATGAACGGGTGAATCTGCTGCCAGAAACTAGCAGATTATGCTCTGAAATAACTCATAAATATAGGCAACATTTTACCTTGGTACCGCAATAAAAACCTAAATTAAAAACTAGTTTATTAAGTGTCGAGGAATAAAAGTAGTGTAAAAATCTGGTCCCGAAATCAAATCTTATAAAAAAGAAGATAATATAGAGGTTGTCGGCAAGTGGAATGTGGATTCGGCTATCATTGTGTCGATAGTAGTTTCGGCCAATGGGAAAATCCCTAAAAGCCTCGACATCCATCTCAGGAGGCTGGCGTTAGGTGGATGGATCAAGGGCCTGATACAGAAGGCAGTTCGCCTAGAAACAGCACGTATGAGGAGGTTTCTGTCTCTGGAGCATTATCCACCGGTAGCTTGGACCATTCTCCCGCTACTGGTCGGCTCCTATTTTTTATATTTTAAATATTTTTTTATTAGGTAAGTAGTATTTGAAAATGTAATTTGTAGAGAATTTTAAATAAATGTATGTGAAGATAATATCAGAAACAAATATTTAATTTCAAACAAAACCATTAAAAGTACACTACCAATGATAACTACAAAACAATGAATAACATCAATAAATAAAATAGATTTGATTAAATAACTAATTAAAAATCTAAATGCAACCCACCAATCGCCCTATTTACTAAAACAACATTTAATAACAAATTCGCAAATATTTTTACTGACTACACAGCAGCATTAGAATTTTTCCGCAATTTTTAAAAAAGGTTCGACTGCAGAGCCTTATCATCCCTAAGGCAACTTAAGCAAGTGTTTAGGGCGCCAGTTTACTGAAGGGCGACGCGAGACACTTGTAACGAACTGCCTATAGAAAGACGGTGGCGCCCAAAATAAGTAGGGGCGCCTATGACGTGCTTGCCTAGGGCGCTGTGTAGGTTTAATTCACATAACATCACGCCTTTTTATCCCCGAAGGGGTAGGCAGAGGTGCACATTTCGGCACTTAATGCCACTGTACAATGTAACACCCACTTTTCACTATTTATGTTATGAGTCCCATGTAATAGGGGGTGAGGCTATTGGCATATCCCGGGCGCATTTCCAGACTCCGTGCTACTACTGAGATTTTTAAAAACCCAGTAATACTTTGCTCGACTCGGGAATCGAACCCAAGACCCCTTGCCCGGCAGTCGCACTTGCGACCACTCGGCCAACGAGTCAGTCTTAATTTACCTCTGTTTAAATCATGTTCAGATGAATATTCCCTTAGTGGGGCAAAGTACTGATGACGTGATGACTCTATTGTTGCTTAGGGTATAGTAATCGCCTTCCACCAGATTAGACATAGAAGATAATTTCTGCAGCAGTTAATTAATTTGCAAATGACATTTTGCTTGTCACTAGAGGCGCTGGTTTAGTATAAAGGCTCTATGAATTTTTGTGGAGATACAAGCCAACAATACTCTAAACCATCATATTACGATGAACTGGATGTGGTGTTAGTGGTGGTAGTATCAGAAGAACTCTGAGTATTCTCTAATTCTTCACTCTGAGCTACCATCTCGCTTATAGTCTGCAGTTTCCTGTTTATCGACTGTAAGGCTATCTGCTGTATGTGCTTTCTATTTTCCAGCATTTTTATACCGTGTTTCAAGTCAGTCACCACCCATTTCACTTGGACATACTCCATTATATTCGGTACTTCGTACTTCAGCCTCACCTTTCTAACTTCATTCAACCTCTGAGCCAGCAAATCCGCTTGAACCTGTATCAAATCTCTCTCTTTGTCCAGTTGTACTGTTGACTGCGCCTTATTCTTAATCGTAGTCAGCACTTTGTTCAAATAGTGGTTCTGCTCCATCATCGCCTTCTTATGGATCGTTAGGTTCAAATTCGCGTCTCCAGTCAGCTTTTTTAGCTCTCCCAGTTGTTGCAACTTATGGTCTATGAGTTTCACACATTCTCCATTTTCAATTTTCAACTTCTCGAAGTCAACTGGTCTGAGACTTTCGCTTAATTCCGCCTTGACCTTGATTTGTCCCTTTAGTTTAGTAAATTGAGTGTTCAAAGTGCTGGTTCTTAGCCTTAGTTTACCTATCTGACTGTCTGATATCTTCACCCATTCAGTCATGAATCGGATCCAGATTTCGGCTGGGATCCGCTGAGCTATTTTGTCCCAGCCTTCAACTAAAACTTCTTGGTGGAACAGATTGCTCGCCTTGTCGATTTCGCTGACTCTCAAACCGATTTCTTCGAGCTGTGCTTTTAAGAGAGCATGTTGTTTTGCACCTTTCTTCCTTATTTTGTTTAGATTTGTGACTAGAACCTCCATTTCGGTGGACACTAGTTCCGATCTTTCTAGAACGTTAATTCTTGGCCCGGAGCCCAATATGATGGTGGTGCCAAGTTTAGCAATAGATTCCACTCTCTTAGTGGAGACTCTTGAAGGGCTTGTCAGCATTCTAGAGGGGCTTAGGAATGTTTCTTGGATACCGAATTTGGATGGTTGCGTTTTGATGTAACTTCCAACGTTCAGCGAAGTGTTTGAGCTCATTCTTGTGGCATATTCTAAGGCTTGGTAGACTCCATGCATCAATGAAGGCTCCAGTCTCATAATAGTTTTTTCTAAAATTTCATTTTCCAGTACTAGTACGTTGAGGCTGTCTTTGAGTTCAGTAACTAACTTGACAAGTTCAGCATCGCTTAGGACGTCCATGTCAGGTACTAGGCCACTGATGGACCTTGAATTTTGACTCATTACACTGCTACGGACGGCGGACTGCATTACACTCGACATCTTTACGTTATTTGCACAAAATTAGGATATTAATAGACCTGTATGTTTTGGCGGATTTGTCATCTGTCTGCCGTGTGTGGATTTAATCATATGTGGTTGCTAGGTGACCGTTGCTATGGTGATGTTTGGAATGACGTGTCTATTCAAATAGTTTGGTGGCCTGTTATTTGGTGTTCGACCTTCGTGGTTTCATATGGTAGGCGAACACGAACGATAATGGGAGTTATCGAGGTTTTCGTGACTGGCAAAAATTCTTAAAAATAGATGTTTCTAGTTTATATAAGGTTTTATATGTTTGCTTTGTCGTGCGAAAAGCCCTTTCAGCGCCTAAAGATACTGAAGCGATTTTATGATCATCCTTTATGCGGCTAAATAAAAATGACTAAACTATTATAGAAATAGTAGGTAATTGCATACATACATAACTTGACGCTTGGCTTCCATGGGGGTAGGCATAGACTATGGAACGCCAATGACTACGATTCCTACATACTTCTTTCGCTTCATCAACAGTCATCAATCTTTTCATGCATGCTCGTCGGTTAAGGGTTCTTTTAATTTGGCGCTTCACTCTCTCACTATATGTCCATCTAGGGCGTCCTCTACCGACGGCCCCTTTCATATCTGCTCTGTATACTTCTTTCGTTATTCTACTTTCATCCATCCTTTCTACGTGTCCAAACCAGCGTAACATTCCCTTTTTAATCCTTGTCACTACATCATCTTTTAAACCACACTTTTCTCTAATAACACTATTTTTCACTCGATCACTCAATTTTAGTCCACACATCCAATTTTGATAAGTAATTAGTCTAGTATAATCAAAACAAACAACCATAAATAAGCGGAAAATATCTTAGATCATAATTATAATTAACAATAATAACTAAAATAACATAAAGGTAATTAATACCTGTAGAGTAACTTATGCCGGAATACTGAACCGTTATTCAAATTTAAGTCGTGCTTAAATATCGTGCCATCTCTGTCATTTTACAAAGGATTTGTAGAGACAGAACTATACTTAAGCACGACTCAAAATTGAGTATTGTTTGAGTATTCCAACATTAAACTTCAAACAACATATAAGAGATGAAGTCGGTTGAAAACTTAACACAAAAGTAAATTAGAAATTGCTCCTATAATTATGAAAAATACAACAAGAGCCCTTAAGACCCCCTAGAAATGTGGGTTCCTGAGATATTCAGAAACAAAACTGGAGTCTCTTCTCATTTCCAATAAATATTCACAGTAGACATAATTGCGTTTTTTAAGTCCAATAAAAAATGTCAAGAAAATTATTTAATTAAGGCTGATATTAGTCTCACGCTGAGGGCACGCGCACCATTAGCGCTGTGTGAACTTGGTGGTCAGCGCTGATCACCGTGCGCGCAGATTCAAAACGCGTGCCGTCAGCATGAGACTAAAACCAGCCTAATATTAGCATCAATTCATAATTACGGTAATCTCTTCTAAAAACTTCTACACACACACATTTTTCAAATGGATTAATACAATTTGAACCTTCAGTCCGATCATTCCGAGTCCGAAAATGAAGATGTTTCGGTATCTACAGGCACTTTGTCTCCTAATCTTGGCATACTCAGTAAAATCCGCAACTGTTTATGAGTACTTGTTACAGCAATTTTCTTTATATTTAACCTCGTCTCCAATCGTTTTATCCCATTAGTCAATTCATTCTTTTTCTCTTTGACTGCAACATATTCGTGATTATTCGGTATATGATACGTCGCCCTCAACTTCTGTATCTCTTTTATCCTTTGTTCCAAATTCTTCACCTCTAATTCTATTACCTTGCTCTCTTTATCCCATATCACCGTCTGACGCTTCTTCTGCGTCGTCAATTTCCTCACCTTCGACAAGTACGTGTTTACGAGCGTCATAGTTTTCTTGTGAATCGCCAAGTTTAGATTTGCGTCACCTACCATCGCTTTCAGATGATAGAGCTGTACCTTCTTTGTTTCTAAAACCTTCACGGCTACTTGGTTCTCAACCTTTTTCTTGTCAAAGTCAACTGGAGTTAAATTCTTGCTGAGTTCTGCCTTGACGCCGATTACGTCCTTCAACTTCCTGTATTGCGTGTTCAATGTGCTGTTTCTGAGACGCATTTTGTCTATTTTCTTGTCGGTCGTCTTTGACCATTCCATCATGAAGCTAATCCATACCTCAGCGGGGATGCGCTTCGTCAGCGGGTCATGGCCTTGAATGATAACTTCTTCTTGGAAATCTTGTATTGATTTTTCCGTGTCGATAATCCAAAGTTCGCAACTTTCCAGTTGAGCTTTCAACAGTGAATTTCTTGTGTTACCGATCTTTTTCCATTCGCTTAACTCCTTACCTAGATGTTCCATCGTGATGGACAGTAGCTCGATTCTTTCATTCAGATTGATCCTTGTTGCAAATCTGGTGACCGATGATCCGGCAAGCTTGCCTCCCGAATCGGTTTTACGGGACATTCTAGACTGTCCGCTGCGCAAGTTTTCATTGTGTCCGAATTTTGTTATTTGTGATTTGACAAAACTGCCAAGGGTTTCGACTGAGGAGCCCGGTAGTTTATTGGTAGCGTATTTCAACGCATTTTGTACGCCGGTCATTAGCGTCGGGTCTAGCCTCATGATACTCTTCTCAAGTACTTCATTTTCTAGTTTTAGTATATGGACTTGCTTGCGAAGATTTTCCACGAGTTTAACAATTTCTTCATCGCTTAGAGTGTCTAGTGGGTAACCGCTGAGCGATTCTGAGTCGCTTGCTACACTACCGTAATACATTCTTATTGCGACAACGTTATTATCTTTGACTTAAAGATTTCTATAGATCGTTTGCTTCAACTTTACTGTTTAAACTTTTTCTTATAATCCTCTCCTTGACTTTTGATCTTGTCATGATCTGTCAGAATGTCAGTTGTTTTCATAATTATGGTTTTAAAGTTCTGGAAAGAGGTTCATCATGAGGTAGACTAAGGCTGTCCAAACTATATACCCTCACGGGCTTTACAAAAGTTGGAGGCGCAGAAAAATATTTTCAGTTGTACCTACAATGACTTTTAACATTATATGCTACATTTTAGCATAAAAAAGAAGTACATTTTGTGATGGAATCAATCAAAATGATAAAATTCTACTTTTTCCTTTCGGTTGTATTATTAGCACTAAGTAGGATAATTCAGGGGAATATAACATAACATAACATCACGCCTTTTATCCCCGAAGGGCAGAAGCAAAGGCAGAGGTGCACATTATGCCACTGTACAATGTAACACCCACTTTTCACGATTTATGTTATGAGTCTCATGTAATAGGGGGTGAGTCTATTGCCATAAACCGGGCATAATTCCAGACTCCGTGCTACTACTGAGATTTTTTTAAAATTCATATGCAGCATTCAAAAAACACAAATACTGAAAGTGAGTGTTACATTGTACAATGGCATTAACTGCCGTAATGTGCACCTCTGCCTACCCCTTCGAGGACTACCCCCAATGTATGTGTAGATCCTTATCCTTACTAATATTATAAATCGGAAAGTGAGTTATTTTGTTTGTTCCGCTTTCACGCCATAACTGGATGTTAGAAGTCTGGATTAAATAATAGGGCACTTTATATCCCGGAAAAATTTGATATTCCCGAGGGAAAACAAAAGTATTGGTAAAGATGGCGCTGTGTGTATTGGTATATGTCACATTGGCTTTTGATCCTTTTGTGACGCGAGCGAAGCCGCAGGTAAAAGCTAGTAGATAATAATAATATACATAGATAATAATAATGTTTTGTTTACGTTTTTCTGTTTTTCTGTTCCAGCCATGAACGTAAGAAGATGTACTGGGAGCAATTGGAGCTGCGTTGTAGATCGTTGTACCGACCTTCTGCAGGGCAGGCCGCGCCGTCTGCTGGGAGACAAGTTCAGGTACGAAACTTTAACCATATTCCTGAATAGCTACTTTGGCGCGATACCACCCACTCTGGGCGCTTACCCTTGAAACCAATCTCAATTTCAATGCAATTTCAATCTAATAACATCTCAATACATATTCAATGTCAAAACTATACAACCCCTATCGTAGCTGTTAAATAGCATTCGGAGTACGGAATATAAAATCAAACTCAATACCATTTCGTTCATTCAATATCCACGCAATACGGATGCAATGGGTGCTAGTGTTGCAACTCAAGATAACGAAATTTCACAATACCAATGTCGATCGATCGGAATTGGATTCAAGAGTAAGCCTCCTGCTCGGCTTCTATTTTGTTATAACTTCTGCCAACAATTTTGTACTCACAAGCGAAGTAATTTTTTTATAATAACAATTTTGAGTCATACTAAATTAAACTAAATAGGCTCACCCCCTATTACATCGGACTCATAATATAAATAGTGAAAAGTAAAGTGAAAAAGTGAAAAGAAAAGAAAAAAGAGAAAAGAAAAGAAAGGAGACTGCACTGTTGGCGTGGTGGTTGGGCAACTGGCTGCCGCGGGTTCGATTCCCGCAAGGAACAACTCTTTGTGTGATCCACAGATTGTTGTTCCGGGTCTGGGTGTCATGTGTATGTGAACTTGTATGTTTGTAAACGCACACACGACACAGGAGACAATCCAAGTGTGGGGCAATGTTTTAATAATAAAAATGTGCACCTATCCTACCCTTTCGTGGATAAAAGGCGTGATGTTTTGTAATTAATAAAAACTATTTTATTTCAGAGCAACTGCAGTTGTTGTGCGCAGTGCCACCCGACACAGCCCGCCTGGGATATAAGTCTACAACACAGATTTTGGGCGCCAGGTAATTATTATTCTAATCTTATATCTTATACTATTATATAAAGCGGTAGAGCTTTTTGTTTGTTTGTTTGAACGCGCTAATGTCCGTAACTACAAGTCTGATTTCAATAATTATTTTTGTGTTGGATAGCGCATATATCGAGGATGGCTATAGGCTAAAACATCACGCTACGACCAATAGGAGCTGAGCAGAGTGTGAAACCGCACGGAAGTAGCTAGTACTTAATATAAAAATGTAAACGTCTAAACGTTTTGCCATTTTTTAAATATTTATTATCATCATCATTATCGACAGCCTATAAATGCCCACTGCTGAGCAAAACTTCTTCCCACACGGAGAAGATTTGAGCATTAATTACCACGCGTGCTCAATGCGGGTTAGCGATTACAAACTTATAATTAGAAATTATAAGCCCAGGTTTCCTCACGATGTTTTCCTTCACCGTTTGTCAGTGGTGTCTAAATATCTTAGAAAGTACATATAACTCGGAAAAAGTCACATTGGTGCTTGCGCTTGGTAGGTTTCGAACCCGCACCTTCATACATGAGAAGCTGGCGTCTTAAACCTTAGAACCACCACCACGACAATCTTAGTTTTTAATAACTTTTAACTGACGAGACGAGAGGCTTATAAGTTTAGAAAAAAAATGTCTTGACTCACAGAACTTTCGAGGATCCTCGACGAGTTTTGAAGTTGCACCGGGGCTCATAAATCATTTTGAATTATTTATTATTATAGTATTTAACTTGCAATGTGCACATGTGTGTGAAGTAGAATCTTGCAACTGAATTTTGAAGCAGATATCTTCAACCGATTGAGCTGAAATGTTGTATACACGTTTAGTTTACATGACCATAAATGCTTAACTGCATAAAACCTTGTTTTTAAAAAGATGTTAATTTATTTTTTATGTTTCAGGTCGTATAGGCAACCTGTATTCTCCCAACCCTGGTACAGGCAGGAAGACGTCAGCATGGAGCTGGTTCCCTTGGCCCAGGAGTAACAGTCAGAAGTAAGTAGTGTAGGTTTCATATTACCATGCTTCGGCATGAATCGGCCAGCTCGACCGGAGTGATACCACGGCCTCACTCGACACTGACGTGAAACAATACTTGCGTTATGTTTCGCTGTGTGTGTGATGATTCGGGAGGCCCAATTCTCCTCCCCTTCCTCCCCAGTCCTCGAAAACCTAATCCTCAACACCCAACCACATCCTAATCCGCAATACACTTGAAGCGCTTCTGGTGTTCCGGGTGTGCTTACCACCAGCGAATACGTTTGCTCATTTGCCACCTTATTCTCTAAAAACACTTATTTCCTTTCAGTTCCCGCTGCAGAATGGGCGTGCCCCAATCAGGAGACAGTGCGTATGGATTTTGCGAAACGGAAGCTGCGCAGACGCAACAGACGCAAGGATATGACGACAGATACCCTCACTCTTTCAACCAAACTCCGTTCAACAGAGCGCAGACTTCAGGCACGTTTGCGCAAATACAAGGAAACTTTGCGCAAGGGTCTGGGAATTTTGTTCAGGTACGTAATAAAGTTAACTATTCTAATACCTTGAAGTCTTCCAAGTGTGGGAGAGCCATGCTTCGCCACGAATGGGCCGGCTCGACCGGAGTGATACCACGGCCGAGCAGAAAACCGACGTGAAACAACGCTTGCGTTGTGTTTCGTCATGTGAGTGAGGTTACCGGAGGCCCAATTACCCCCCCCCCTGCACAATTTTTCCAATCCCCGAATCTCCAATAATCCTCAAGTCCCTAATCCCCAAATGGCCGGTAACGCATTTTAAACGCCTCTGGTGTTCCATGTGTCCATGGGCGACGCCGATTGCTTACCATCAGGTGATACGTCTGCTCGTCTACCGGCTTATCTAATAAAAAAACATATATTTTAATGAGTTAACTAAAAATCCGCAGGTTACTAACAATTTCAGAAACTTTGAATGTGGCCTACCGTATTTTTGTTGACCACACGGCGCTAGTGTGAACCTCTCGTTCTTCGTCCAATAGGGAATTAACTAGTGTCCCACCATTGGATGTAAATATTTGACAGCTGATATGATTGGACAAAAATTACAATAGGCTAGTTTCCTAAATTTTATGTTAATGTCCATCTGGTAAATTATTTTAAAACATTAGACACGTATTTTTTATTTTCTCACAAAATTAAATGCTTTCGATGATATATTGATTTGAAATGTCGTGTGACGTCACAGCGTGTTACAAAATGTACCACGTTGTGACGTAACTACCTCCCACTCCTAAAGTTCACTCCATTTTATCTAAGTATTGTAACTTTATACGAGAAAATAATACCATACGTGTCTAATATTTTTTTCATTATCTAACTGACAGATTAATTAGATTTTTAATTTTCTTACCCTGGAAACTACCCAATTGCCTTACATTTAAGCCACATGGTAAGCAAAAAACATTAGCCTCTATTGAAAAGTAAATACTATTTATTTACAGGGCCAAGCTAACTTCCCCCAGCCGAGTTTCTCCCAGGAAGGGTTTGGGGAAGCGAGCGGTAGCTTCGACGCGGCCACCGGAGTATGGGGACCTCCGCCACCGTACAGTCCACAGGGACGGAGTGGTAGCAGGTAAATGTAATTTATTAATCTACAGCGCGTTCAAACAAACAAACAAACAAATTCTTCAATTTTGTATGATTATAAGATTACTAATAACTATACTTTCTTTTCCAGACATCACCTCCACCACCAAGACCCCGCAGCGGCCACTCTTCTTCATCACCATCACATGGAGCATCGCACCAACATCCACGAACATCCATCAAACATCCAACCTCATACATGCGCTAGAAACAGCTACTTAATGCATCAAAACCTACCCCCAACCGAAATGAGCCGAATAAACCCCGATTTAACACGAATAAACCCAGAATTAGCTCGAATGAACCCGGAATTGGCTCGAATGAACCCGGAATTGGCTCGAATAAATCCAGAATTGGCGGAATTTGCTCGAATAAATCCGGAATTGGCTCGAATGAATCCGGAAGTAGCTCATATGGGGCAGATGTATCCTCAGGATATAGCTGAAATGGCTCGTTTGCAGGCGGAATTGGCCCATATGCCACCTGAAGCGAGGTTTAACACGTTAAGGGGCCACTTAGTGCCGTATAGGTGTCAGAGGTTGGGGATGAGCGCTAGTAACTTGCACAGAGATTGCAGGATCGATGATACCGTCGCTATTGAGTGCTTGCATCAGAAATCTGCGAGTAAAGGTTAGTATAAGATTAACTAAAAATCGCGGGTTACTCCCGTGAAAATACTAAGAAAAGCTCTACTAGTTTAGAACCACAGAGCGGGTCTTCCTCATGAGCAGCGTGCGCGGTCTAAGTAGAGCTTTTCTCCGTATTTTTACATGGGTAACCTAGTTCTAGTCAATTTAGTATGTCTTACGATAGTTATTATAAAAAATATTTAGTTTTCCCTTAAACCTGTATCTTAATCAAGAGCAACTTAGCGTTAGTCAGAACTTAAACTAATCATGTATTTTAGCTCCCTATTTTGGGGGTTCCTTAAAATTTAAGAGAAGTTGGTAAAACGGGCATTAATATATGTTGTAGATGCTATAGAGTATCTATAATTACTACTAGTTGTTTATTTTGTTCTATTTTCCTGCATATTACCCAAGCCTATTTTTACTGATTCTCTACTTACCCATAGGTTAGGAGAAAATCCCATATGGCATTAAGTCCGCCTTATGTACTTTGTTTTTGTGTGCATTAATAAATAAAAAAATAATGTCATATTTTAATTCATTGCTTGATAAATTGATTAACTAACAAAAATAGAATTATTAAATCGAACCACTAGTCCTGGAGATTAGCGCCGTTCAAACAAACAACAAAATTTCAGTTTTAGTATAAATTTGATTCTTTACTATAATATCTATTTGTTCAGTTTCAGATCAAAGTTCTGACTCCTGTCAGAAGCAAGGAAAAGAGAATTTGGGGTTCCAGAATGATAAGCATTCTCCTATCAGGTCAGTATTCATTTAAACTGTCAAACACCAAGCGGTCACCGGTGACCGCAACCTATTGTTCTATAATTGTGTCTATAATGACGGTACTCGACGAGTTAATACGGCAGTTGACAACTAGTCAAATTCAATACTTTTATCGAAACGTCAAAAACGATACGGTTCTATGAATTTTGTACGAAATACCATCTTATGACGTCATCATATTTTTGGGTCAAATAGCACTCTTATATTTTAAAGATTGCTAGAATAAATCGAAATTAAGTGTATGGGCAACTCAATGAATGACAGTGTAACTATTATTCAATATTTAATTGAACTGAAAAATCTAAATGATTTATTTTTGACCCAGGAAACTACCCAATTCATTCACTTCGTTCCTTCATCTACTTCATTCAATCATTCCTTAGAATCAGTTTAATATTTATAGTCATGAAACTAAACGTGTATACATAATTTCAGCTCAATCGGTTGAAGATAAAATTAATATAAAATCATTATTTATTTTCTCCAGGTCATCAATGCAAGACTGTCGCGCTGCCAACCAGAATGCGGAGTCCGAAGTATACTTCGCAGACGTCTCTAGTTGCTGCAATGTGTCTGTTAAAGTAAGTAGGCTAAGGTTCATCTAGGTATACAGATAAATAAAATTGGAGTGTCTGTTTGTAATATTTAAAATAACCGCTTTTTACTACATGCATATGAACACGCGATACACATACAAAAATAACATTGTTTACAATTTTTGTCTGTCTGTCTGTTTATTTGTACTGGCTAATCTCTGGAATCGCTGGACCGATTTTACAAGACTTTTATGGGCTGGTAGCTGATGTACTAAGGAGCAACATAGGTTACTTTTATTTTGGAAAATTGAAACAAATAAAGTTATGTTCTAAGATTCATATTCTACGCGGTCGAAATCGCGGGCAACAGCTAGTTTATAAATGTAGACTGTTACGAGTTTAAGTTTATAAAAAATATATTGTTTTTGCATGAGTGTATATTGCTGAGCAAAGGCCTCTCACACGGAGAAGGCTTGAGCATTTATCACCACGGTTGCTCAATGCGGGTTGGCGATTTCAAACTTATAATTAGAAATTATAAGCCCAGGTTTCCTCACGATGTTTTCCTTCACCGTTTGTCAGTGGTGTCTTGATAATCTTAGAAAGTGCATATAACTCGAAAAACGTCACATTGGTATTTAATTAACTTTATAGTTAAATTACTTAGTTTTCATCTATTATATCTAAAGTAACACCTTCTTTTCAGGCCGAATGCTGCATGAACGCCAACGTATCAGCCCTAGTAGGCACCATTGAAAACCATCCAGAGTCTACATCGGAGTCCGACACAGGCTCCTTCACCCTCACGCGACAACAGCGCCCCCAACCGCAAGTCGGATCCAAACGGAGACCACGACAAACTGAGAAACACATTAAAAATCAAGAAAAAATGAGACAAGTACTAAATAACTCTATAAGATTGACCGAACATCAAATTGAACAGCTCAACAATTCCATGAGAATGAACGAAAGAATTGAACGTGAACGAATGAATGAGACCAGGTTGAGTGAACGCATGAATGATTCCAGAGACCGGTTGAATGACAGAGACCGCATTGAACGCATAAATGATTGTAGGATCAGCGACCGAATGAACGAAACAAGGTTAAGTGAGAGAATGAACGATTCTAGAGATAGGTTGAATGAAGGAAGGGTATGTGAGCGTGAACGATTGGAGAGGTTAAATGATTCACGCATAAGCGACAGAATGAATGAGACAAGGATGAGTGAGCGAATGAACGAAACGAGAAAGAATGAACGAATGAACGATTCCAGAGACAGATTAAACGACTCGCGAAACTGTGAGGTAATTGATCCGAGAATAGAAAGAATGAACGATTCTAGAATCAGCGACCGAATGAACGAAACTAGACTAAGTGAACGTATGAACGATTCGCGTGTCTGCGAGCGGATGAACGAAGCAAGAATGGAACGAATGAATGATTCTAAACTGAGCGACAGGAGTGACACTCGTCACAGCGACCGAATGAATGACTCCCGGCTTGAACGAATGAATGACTCGCGTCTTGAACGAATGAGTGAGCTAAACTCAAGCATTCGTATCGGCGGTAGTCCCAAGATGCGCACACACATAAGTCCCTTACGTATACCTAGATCTAGTCCTAAGAACGTGCCTAAAGATCATCCTAGGCAGTCGAGTTCAGATTCAAACAAGCCAGATTTCAGGCAAATATCGCCTTTGTCTCCTAATACGGAGGAATCATTGTTGTCTGATGATGATAGGCCTCAGGATCAAGTTTATTCGAATGACCCTGAGACCTCCAAGTGTTTAGGTCCAGATTCTCAATATGAGCCTGTGAGAGAGACTAAGGAAGAAATTTTGAAGACCAACCATCATCATTGTTATAGTGATACAAATACTATGGATTCTGGATGGCAGAGTGGATCTGAGAAACAGGTAACTGACTAATTCAGGATTTCGAAAAATGTTTTATTGTATTTTTTTAATTTTAATGACAAAATCCTTCGTAAAAAAAAACTAATTGCTGGTTTCGCCAACCATCCCTAAACTGCCTCTTAACATCAAGTTATTTACCGTGACGTAGCACCTAAACTAACTCCTTACTTGTACTATTAGGTGTGACTTAAAGGTTGGTAAAAGACAAAATGTCGTTAAACATCACCTATCTTAACTTAAGATGCCCTTAAAATTTAGGAGAGGTTGGTACAAACGGGCATAATTTTCTTTAGTGTTATCCTACGTTAAATAGATATTGTTCAGTAAAAATAGGTTTTTCATATAAATATAGTGATTCGATTGTCCTTTTGTAAAGTGTTCCGTGTGCTGTGTTTAATTAAAAGTCGATTTTATGACTAAATCGTTCATTATATTCAATCGTTCACTTCAATGAGAAAGTAGGTTTAAAATAATCGTTATAAAAATATTTTCCCTTGAGCCAAATTACATAATACTATAAAATCTTAATTCTCTAAACTTTTGCATAAATAATTCATTGAATGCGTTCATTTAGTTCGTTCATTGTCCACCTTCATTCACCCTAATTTTTATTGAACATTCATTCATTAACCATTCACTCATTCATTCATTCCGTTCAATGAATTATTTGTGTCAAGAGTAAACTTGCCAATTTTCCGAATTTGACATAATATTATTAATTTCGATTTAATAATAAATTATGTAAAAATAATAATAGTCGATGTGTTTTGATGCTCTCTAAAATATTGAGATTATTATTTTAATTTTTAAATTGGATATAAATAAAAACGAATTTGTAGGTCGCGTAGAAACGTATTATTGTGTAAAGAACTTTCTTTATACAACTACCTATTATAAATTATAAATTATTAGATATAAATTGTGAAAATTCGTATATACTTTGATAAATATACTAAAACATGATTGAAGCCTTTTCTTATAAGAGCGGTTTGTGAAAAAAATATTTATTAAGTCTTTGTTATGTCATGCGCTTTCATAATAATTTATATTTAGGTCCGTCTGTCGGTCCATTGAAACTATCACCTCGGTTCCTGTGCTATGATCATATTTTGACACTTTAAACAACACGTACGTAGTCGTTACTTTGTTATACCTTAATCTATCCGTCCACCCATTCTGTTTATAAATCCGTTCATTCATTAGTTCATTCTCTTATTCGAATTTTATAAGTCGTATACTGAATGGTTGTCGATTTTTTAAAAGGCCACGATACTTGCCAACTTTGTTTTTGTAAATGAGTGAATGAAATTGAATTCATTCATTCATTCGTTCTTTTGAACATATTTACTTTAGTGACTCGTGTATTTCTTTATTATATACTTAGGCTATTGATTTCTGGATAGCCAATCTATAAAAAAAGTATTATTTTTATTCAGAAACATGTTAATTAACTAAAAATCGCGGGGTACTTACGTGAATATACAGAGAAAAGCACTCCTAGTTTCGAACCACAGAGGGGTTCTTGTTCATGAGCAGCGTGCGCGGTCGCGGCGATGTCGCGCAGCCTACCACTAGTAGAGCTTTTCTCAGTATATTCACGTGAGTAACCCGCGAGTTTTAGTTAATCTAATATGTCTCACGATAGTTATTATAAAAACAGAAACATGTTAATGTTGCCATAAGATGATTCTTTATTTTATTTTTATTAAAAATCCATTTTAAGAGCAATAATTTCTAATTTTTTTTTGTAAATATTTTTATGAAGTAATGAATTAGTTCTATAAGTATTTTGTAGTGTAACTTTTTCTGTATTATTGTATACAGGGTGTAGTAATATTTTAATGTGATTTTTAAATAGGATCGTTTATGTGTCGTAGAAAGAATGTATGGAAATAAATATATATAATTATAAATTTTCATGCATTTTCTTAGTTTGTATGTTTAGATGTTTGCATTAAAATATTATTACACTTATCAGTAGTTGCTAGTGCCACTGTAATGCCATTATGGAATTGTTTTAATATTATAATTGTGTAAAAACAGACTGAGCTAAATTTTAACGTTATGACTTTATTAATTGTTGCTTATAATTTTAATCATTTGTTACAGTTGCTATTTAATTCAAGTGTTTTTCAATAAAATAACATAACACACATAATATATCACTTTTATCCCTGAAGGGGTAGGCAGAGGTTCACATTACAACACTTAATACCACTGTGACACCCAGTTTTCACTATTTGTCATGAGTCCCATGTAATAGGGGGTGAGTCTATTGCCATATATCGGGCACAATTCCAGACTCCGTGCTTTTTTAAAAACAACCCAGTAATACTTTGCCCGACCCAGGAATCGAACCCGAGACCCGTTGTCCGGTAGTCGCACTTGCGACCACTCGGTCAACGAGGCAGTTTCAATAACATGAATACGAAAAATTATAACACAAGATTTAGCTCACTCTGTATAAAAATTGTCTATAACTTGAACATCCTGTGTATATTCGTTATACTAGTATTTTAAGTACGTTGTTTACATACGTTGTAATATTTAAGTTATCTTTAACTCAAATTAAAAGTTCAATAAATTAAAATTGTACTGTGAATGAAGTAATCATTATTTAGCAATAATTTCTTGTCTTTAACTCTCTGATACGTTCACGTAGACTTCATATATATAAATAAAAATCAATTTCCGTTCGTTACTCTCGCTCAAACTCGAGAACTGGTGAACCGGTTTGGCTAATTTTGGTCTTGAAATGTTCCTGGAAGTCCAGAGAAGGTTTATAAGGTGGGAAAAATAGTTTAGGCAGTACGAAGTATGCCGCTATGTCGTATGGTCAGCTAATAAACTCATAAAAAATGAGTATAATTTTTTATTTCAGCTACAAAATTTCAAGTAAATTATTTCGCAATAGGGTAGATGACTAATTTTTATTTTAATGTCCGTCTGGTATAGATTATTTAAAAACATTACACACGTATTTTTTTACAGAAACGAATACTTTCGAAGATATATTGATTCGAAATATCGCGTGACGTCACTTCTATGTGCATTTTATACGTAGAAATTTCAAGTGTGGGAGAGCCATGCTTCGGCACGAATGGGCCGGCTCGACCGGAGTGATACCACGGCCTCACAGAAAACCGACGTGAAGCAACGCTTGCATTGTGTTTCGTCGCGTGAGAGAGGTTACCGGAGGCCCAATTTCCCTCCCCTTCCCCAATCTCCCCAATCCCTGAATCCCCAACAATCCTCAAACTCCTAATCCACAAATAGCCGGTAACGCACTTGTAACGCCTCTGGTGTTCCAGGTGTCCATGGGCGACGCCGATTGCTTTCCATCAGGTGATCCGTCTGCTCGTTTACCGGCTTATGCCATAAAAAAAAAAAAAAA